GTTTCACTTTTTGGGGGGGCCTAAAATTAAGTAACATCTTAGTCCATTTAGTGTTACTCTAAAGGAATACCGGAGTCTGGGTAATTCATAACAAAAAATGGTTTATTTGTCTCACGATTCTGATGTCTGTAAAAGTTCAAGATGTGCATCTGTATCTGGTGAGAGGCACTCACGGTGGAAGGCAGAAGGACTTCTTTTAGCAAGCATCAATATGTTGTAAATTCAGTTTCTTTAAAAATAACTTTATTTCCCTTCATCTTGAATGCTTTAACTGAATACAGAATTTTAAGTTAAGAGTAATTTTCCCCTTGGCACTTCGAAGATAATATTCTGGCATATATTTCTGGCATATACTATAACTGATGAGAAGTTTTCTATCCAATGCTTCTATCTAAATGGCATTTTTAAAATAAGGAACTATCTTTTCTTTTTATATTTAAGATTTTTCTCTGAGGTTCATATTTTTATGTTCATGAGAATGGGTCAAGGTATTTATAGTTACGCATGTATATGTGTGACTTGCTTTGTTTTTATTGTTCTTCTCAAACTCACTATAATTTTTGCACATATAGATGTGTGTGGGTGTGTATGTGTGTGAGTTTCATTCTTATTAAATTCATTGTAATTTCTGAATCTAAAAACTAGAGGTTTTTTTCCATTCTGGAAAAAAAATAGGTATTATGTCTTTGAATATTGCCTGCTTATTTTTTATTCTGGAATTCCTATTAAACATATGTTGGGTTTTGGCCGTTCTCTTTGTGTCTTAACTGTTCTTCCATATTTTCATACTTTATCTTTCTGGCAAAGTAGTATATTAGAGAAATTTTCAGCAAATAATTACTCTCTTCCCCTCTCCTACAGGAGGAATGTACTTCCCTGATATTAATTGAGGTCTTGCATAGTTAGGCTTGTCTCTTGATCTCTTTTTGCAATGAGAACATGACTCAGCTAGCCTCTGGTTTAAAGAGGATGAAAGATATGTGGAACAGACCAGGACCTGACTTAATCCTCAGAGACCAGCTGAGTCTCGCCAAGACCAGCCAATCTCTAGCTAACCCAAAAATGCATGAGTAAGAAATATGTATATATTGTTGTATGGCATTAGGACTTTGGGTGTTTTGAAAGGCAGAAAAATTGGGCTGATTCAGAATTTGATGTATAAAGTATAGTGCTGCCATAACTAAAACCTAAAATATGTGGCACTGGCTCTGGGAATGAGCAGCAGGTAGTCATGTAATTGTTATAGGAGGCTGGAATAATGACAAGCAGTATTATGTAATGGCAAAACATTTGGTAAAATTGTCACTTGCAATAATATGGAATACAGAACATGCAGATCTAGTAAACTTGTGAATTTGGATGAGGTGATTTCAAAGAAGAATACTGAAGAGCAGACTGTGGCTAGGTGCCTTTGAAAAAGCATAAGAAAGTGGTGAGCTCAAAAAGAACTGCCTGGGTTACAAACAGAATTGAGAGGAAACAGAGAGTTTAGAAATATTGAAAGTCATAGGCTTAAAAATGAAACTGTTTCTCAACAAATCCCAAGCTCAAAGAAAAAGTAAATTTTGGCCACGGCCAGGGTAAAGACCAAAACAAGGGTGTGGTGCAGGACTGAATGCCCTGAAAGTGGACTCTGAGATGGAAAATAGCCTGTAAAGAAGTGCTCTCAGGATCAACACTTGTGGCAGAAAGGAAGCAAGCAAGAATGAGCAGAGAAAGAAAGTGAGCTGTCATTAATTTATAAAAAGAACTTAACCAACCCACTGAAGTTAGGTTGCTCCTCAGAGTTGCTCCCAATAGAGGAAATGAAGGCAAGTCTTTAAAACCCTACATCAATTAGTCATTGCATACTGGCTGACCCCTGGAGAGAGCATGAACTACACAGGGTGCCTCTTTACTATTGAGAGCAATTCCCAAAGAAGACTGACAGCTGAGATCTGTAGAAATCCCAGCAGCTAGAGGAATAAATTCTTTAGTCATGAAGGATGATGTTAATGGCACAGTACATCATCCAATTCAATTCACCCCATGTTCCACTCAGATCTATAATTTTGCAAAAGTTTTTGAAGCATCTCCAGAACTTGGGAAGAAAGTTAGCAAGATACATAGATTCCATGGCAAAGACCAAAAGTGATACTCAATATAGGCTTCCTGATCTACCATCCTAGAGTTTCCTCACCTTGACTAGCTTTTTTGCTGGTCTTGCTGGCTTACGTGGTGGGATGATCCAGTCACTCATCCTTGAGAGTTACTATATCTTTCTTAGGTCATCAATACTTTACTAGAAACTTTACTATCTGCAAGGGTATACCAAAATATGCCAAATACATTCCTTTTTGTCATCGCTGTATAAAAGCAGGCTGACCTCCTCCTAGTATTTAGAATGATAAACCTGCCAGGATGGTGACTGCTCTCATTGCCTGATCCTTTGGCACTAGAAGGCAGAAGTGCCCCAGTGACAGCTGTAGTTTAAAATTGAATGGGCCTCTTGCTGTGTCTCCTGGTGGAAATGTTCACCTTTTGGGAACCAATACCTCTACACCTACAAATCCCAGCGCTATGGAGATGAGTAGCACAAAATCCCCAATTGGGTCACTGACAATGATGGTAAACAGGACCACCTCTACTTCTACCTTTTGATCCATAAATTCTACTTGTTGGGAAGACAGCAACATACGCTGGCCATTGATTCAGAGGGTATACAGCGTAGGATATTGTCTCTAAGGTGGTGCGTAAGCTGATTCTTCGACTGGCCATTCCATTGCTCTATCCGGCCAGCAATTGTTTACAGTTCTGGATGAAGTGATATGTGAAAGAACCAGTGAATCACATGGTCATGTGCTCACTACCACATCTCTTTTGCAATAATATGAATCCCTTTGTTTGATGTGATATTATGGAAGACCCTGTGTCATGAGATCAAACACTCCATAAGTATGGTGGAAGTGGCTGAAGCACTATTGGCAGGAAAGGAAAATCCATACCTGAAATATGTATCAATTCTAATCAAGATGAATCATTCATTGCCCCTTACATAATAGAAGGGATCCATGTAATTAACTTGTCATTTGATTCTCCTCTATGGATGATTCCATATCAAGGGCTCAACATTGGTCTCTGTTTCTGACAGGTTGGACATTTGGCAGCAATAGCCAAATCACTGTTGGTGAGTGGGAGCCCATGCTGTGGGGCCATCCACAGTATGATGACTACCCTTCTTGTACCCATTGTTCCAGCCTTGAGGGAGAAGCTTGTTGATGCCAGCCACTGGAGTCATTCTGTTTATTCAGTACCTCTTTTGTGGTATATCCTTTATGGTTGGTGTTCACTTGTAATGCAAAAATCTTTATACTTTGTGCCCAGTCCCATAGGTCCATCAACGTACTTTCTCATCAGACTTCCTAGTCCTAAATTTTCTGATATTTCTTCTTCCTTAAAGTAGGCTGTTCTACTATTTATCACTGCTATAACAAATTACCATAAACTTAGTGACTGAGACAACAGTAGTATTGTCTCTTACATTTCTGTAGAAGTCTGACAGAAATCTTACTGTGCTAAAAATCAAGCTTTTAGCAAGGCTCTGATCCTTTCTGGAGGTTTTAACAGAGAATTCATTTCCTTGTTCTTTCTAAATTCGAGAAGCCTTCCATATTCCTTGGCTCATGGCCCCTTTATTCCATCTTCAAAGCCATTCTTCCATAGTCATATCACTCTCTGGCCATAGCCAGGAAAGTTTCTCCTACTTTTAAGGATTCATATGATTAGATTGGACCCAACTGAATTATAAATACATCTTTGATCTGTTATGTATCTATGTTTGTGGTTACAGAACATTCATAAGCACTTAAAAATATTTTTTGTACCACATTCTTCCATTAGCTTCCAAATCAGCTTCCAAGTACATTGTTTTATCTCTAAGAATACCTTCACACAAAAGATTGAGTAAAGCTAGACTTTAAATATTATCCTTCTTAACCTCTTAGTAATTGTGTTTCTTTGATATGGGTCACTACTAATTTTAACACAGCTGTTTATGTTATTGCGTAACAACTTTGTGATCTTACTAATTTGTTTAGAAAATCAAATTTAGTAGCTGCTCTGGTCTGAGGGAGGCAAATATTTTATAAATCATTGCTACTATATGTTAAGCTCTAATATCAGTTTCACATTCATTATTTTGTTTACCTTTAAATGAATCCTATAAAAGAAGTCTAGTATCCCTATTTTAGAGATGAGAAAACTAATGTTTCCAGTATCACAGAACTAGTATCAGAGTAGGGCATACAAATATAGGTCTTTTTGAGTCTAAAATGCATACTATTTTCACTATATCCTTAATAAATTCCCATTAAGAAAATTAAATTATCTGTAGAGGTGTACTATTATATCCAGCACATTTCATTAATTTCTCATGTTGTAGAAATCATGTCCAATGTATTACATAGAAGCCTTGGGCCACTAATAATTCTTGAACTGACATAGTTCAAGACGACCTAGATAGAAGCATACTGGCTAGAAACAAAAATCAATGGTAAATGTTTTTATGAAATCACTAGACTCGTTTCTTACTTCATTGTTGCTGTCTTCTAATTTGACCTAAATTTACTGTGTGGTCTATAGTGTCCTGTTGCTTAGCGAAATCTGGAACACATTATAAAGAATACCTATTTAATGTTTCCATCAGTCCTGAAACATAGATATATTCTTGAAGATGTGCTATCATATTGTTCTAAGAGTCTTTGTGAGCAATTTAAATCCTTTTGCTATCTCAGCCAAAATGAAGTGAAGGATTGTCCAAACAGAAAGTCTGAATAATTCAGCTTCTCTTGGTAGAAAACAAAGTTAATCTCTCTGGAATCTATATAGCTGCAGAATCACTGGATCATTGAACAACTCTCTACTTCACTTTGGTAGTATAGATTTCCAAGATCCATGAGCGTAAAATAATTATTTTTAAACTTTTGAATGAAACAGATTTAAAGTAAAACAGACCAAGTACATAACATTAACATATTTTGTTTAATTAAACTTGTCCATTTAAAACAAAAGATCAGCATATTTTTTAAATGAGTAAAGAAATTCAAAAATGATCAGTATATTTGAAATGATTTTTAGCTTTCTGAAGTCCATCCATTATTATGAGGCTTAAGAAAGACTTCAGAGGCTGCTTAAACATTTTGATATTTTTCATGTAGAAGTTCTTTATCAACCTTGAAATCTGTAGATAAATAGAAAGTAAAGAAAACATAAAGTAGGCAGATTTTTCCTACTATGAACCTTGATTTGACCTATGTCACTCTTAGTTGAATGGGATAAATTAACACTTTCTTGAAAGTTTCCTACCATACACATACATTTAATTTTTAAATATTCAGGACCCACAGAATATACTATGCCTATTAAGGATTTTTTTATTATAATTCTAGACTTATTAGATACTTGATTTGCTTATTGATTCAAATCAATTTAGTTCTGGCCGGGCGCAGTGGCTCATGCCTATAATCGCAGCACTTTGGGAGGCTGAGACAGGTGGATCACTTGAGGTTAGGAGATTGAGACCAGCCTAACCAACATGGTGAAACCCCATCTCTACTAAAAATACAAAAATTAGCTGGGCGTGATGGTGCACGCATGTAATCGCAACTACTCAGGAGGCTGAGGCACAAGAATCTCTTGAACTTGGGAGGCTGAGGTTGCAGTGAGTGGAAATCATACCACTGCATTCCAGTCTGGGCAACTGGAGAGTGAGACTCTGTCTCAAAAAATAAATAAATAAATAAATAAATAAGAACAAATCAACTTTGTTCTATCAGCATGTAGTGAGAGTCCACTATAGGGCAGACTGATATCAAATTTCATGGTATAGTCAGCTTTCTAGCACACTTTATGTACTTCCTAAAAAAGGGATAGACCAGGTGCAGTGGCTCATGCCTTTAATCCCAGCACTTTGGGAGGTCGAGACGGGCAGATCGCCTGAGGTCGGGAGTTTGAGACCAGCCTGGCCAGCATGGTGAAACCCTGTCTCTACTAAAAATACAAAAATTAGTCAGGCATATTGGCAGGTACCTGTAATCCCAGCTACTCAGGAAGCTGAGGCAGGAGAATTGCTTGAACCCAGGAGGCAGAGGTTGCAGTGAGCCCAGATCATGCCATTGCACTCCAGCCGGAGCAACACAGTAAGACTCCATCTCAAAGAAAAAAAGAAAGGATATAAAGTAGGAACTTAGATTAATTAATTTGTAGACTTTATGCCCATGCTAAAATTAAACTTTCTAGATCCTATAGGACAGAAAATATAATTTTGTTTGCTCTAATTTTTTAAATTTAGACCTTTAATTGGGATAGACAGTTCAAGAGTCCCCACAGCTCCTTATTATCCCCAACAGATTTGCTTCACCCATTTACGGTAGCTGCATCTAACCCCTGCAAGTGTTTGATTTTCAGCCTCCTAAATCTAATCACTTTATTTTATAATAAGAAAACGAACGGTCACGGAGAATAAATAACTTAGCCAAGGTTACCAGCTAGCAAGTGGCACTAAGCCAGAGTCAAAATCCAAGTTTAGTGGCTCTTTGTAAAAGGCAGTGTATTCATCTTACTATATTATCATTGTCTTTATCAGAATGTAACATTTGTCTGAAATAAGGACCCTCTGTAATTTTTTTTAGCTTTCAAAAGTGCCTCATGGTACTTACAATTTTTATTCATATCCCAAGTTTCAAAATATCATTAACAGATTAAGCACTTTACTACATGCTATTTTGGTGTTTGCACTACTCCCCCGCCTTTCCACTGCCTTTTAGCTGCTCTGAGAGCTGGTAAAGAGAGATGAGAATTATACAATTACATAAGATAAAAGAATGAAAGGTTTAGAGAGGTGAGTAAGAATGAGGGAGTGGTAGGGTCGTGGGCGGGAATAACTGTAGAGGAAGGACAAGGAGAAGGAAAAACTGAAATAGTGGTTCCTGAATGTCAAAGACAGGAAGAATTGAGAAACAAAGACAGCCAGGTCATCAAACATTGTTCTTTTATGGGATGTGCTGATTGTGTGTGTGTGTGTGTGTGTGTGTGTGTGTGTGAGATTTGCTAAGTCCACTCAAATTTTAGGCAGATTTTTCCCTTTGGCTCATGTAGCCAGTCCCATACAAAATTATGAAATAGGCAAAACTTATCTTGGAAATCTCCTTTGTACATTCCTCCATTAAACTGTATTACAAAATGCAGTGCTTTTTTCTCTGGTTCACCCCAAGCTGAAAACTGGCTCTCTTTGACACTTCAGTTTTAAGCCTGACTCTCTCCTGGAGTATTTACATTTGAAGTCCCATCTCTTAATTGTTGAGTAAAAGAACCTCTCTTAAAGGAATTGTTTAAACATCAGGAAGCAGAGAGGTTTGGAATTACTAAAGGATAAAGGAATCCTTCCTAGAGAATCTCTAATTTCACAACCAACTGTGACTTTAAGAGGTCCAGCCTGTTCATATCTAGTCTAATTTCTAAAGTACTCAGCATACTCAACTCTCTAGGTTAAGTTTTAAATTGACAAGAAAGGTACACAGAGTCTGAGAAGGCAATAACAATCACCGAGCAAACTGTACATTCATCAGATGTTAAGGAATGCATCAGTGAAGACATTCATTCTAAATAAGCAGATATAATCCCTGATTTATATTCAATTATTTGTGATTAAGGTGAAGTAGCTTTTCTCATCAATTTATCTATTTAATTATTCAGTAGGGATGTGGACTTTAACCAATTTATGAACAATATCTTATTTCTCTTCATAATTGAGAGAAGCACCAGTAAAATAAGCAGAATTTCCATAAATTGATCAACTGAGATCTCTAAAATGTTGATTGCTATAAACAAAATAATAAAGGTCAATAGAAAAATAGAAGTTTACCCAAACTTTCCAGATTCTGCAGCCAGACTGCCTGGTTTCAATTTAGGTTCTGCCACTTACTTGCCTCAATTCCTTATCTCTAGACTTGAAATAATAATAGTACCTACATCATGTGACTGCTGTGAGAATTAAGTTAGTACTTTAAAGTGTTTAGAACCATGCTAGGCACTCTGTAAGTGCTTGCTAAATAAAATACTATAATTTTATCTCTTTCCTGACTCTGATGGCAGTCAGTTAGGTCTACAAAATGGCTCCATAAATCTGATGTATAATTCAAATGGTCATTAAATGTACACATCTATATCCAGTTAACTTACTGCCTTGAGCATGGTGCAAGTGAAGAAAATATTATTTTACTTCACTGTAAGGTTGTAGGTGTCAACACTTCAAAAATGCATTTTCTCTTAAGGGAAACTGGACATTAGGGTATGAATGATTTATTGCTACTTGGTTATGTTATAAAATGAAGGAGAGCACAGTTTTGCCTTCAAAACCCCTAACACTTCTTTTCAATAGCTTTTTTGAGGTATAGTTTACATACTGTAAAATTCACCCTGTCATCAATAAACAATACTAGTGTTCATTGAATGGCTATTACATTCCAAGCAATAAACACAAATTGTTTCATTTAATCTTCATAAAAATCCCTTAAGGTAGGTATTATTATACTCAATTTTATGATTAAAGGGTAAGAACTTTGCAGCTAAAGGTTGAAGTGAGGTTTGAATTTATGTCCATGTGGCTCTAATATATGTTTTCCATATTCTGCAGCTTCCCTTCAGAAAATTACTTTGTTCTCTTTCAGAGAGTGACTGGAAAAAGGGGGGAAATGTGACTTTTAGAGGGTAGCCGTGGTTAGAGAAACTCTCAGTCTTTTAACCTGTCAGGAGAAAAGCCAGAAATAACAGTCACTGAAAGTTGTTTTAAAACTCTCAATTCAAGCTTGGCATGATAATGCAAAATATTATTATGATGCAGAAATAAGCAATCATAATCATAATACTGATATACACAAATCATAATGCGAATGTACACTACTTTCACTTGGAAGGATTCATCACTTTCTACTAGCGTAACTACACCTTCTTCATTGCATTCTCACCAAATGAGTTAGGGTTTAAAATGGGGAAACAAGAGAAATGATGCAGGGATTCTGGCCCATCTTTTAGACTTTTCACATCAAATGGTATGTTAAAATCAAACCCCTGGACATCATGCTCGGGAATACTTAAGTAATTTTGCCACAATTCATTTATTAAACAAATATTTAGGTGATTTTTACATGTCCAGTAGTACTATGCTAACCACCAGGTATACAGAGGTTAAAACAAAAGATGAACCCAGTTCCAGCTCTTAAGGAGTTTACATTTTAGTTCAGGCTTTCATAAGGAGAGGCAATGAGTGTGCTGTACTGTATAGCACGTGGGCTCTTGAACCAGCCTCTCCACTTACCTCTCCACCTGCTGTGTGACCTTGGCATTTGCTTTTTAAGCGACTCGATTTTCTATTTTGTAACATAATCGTTGACTTCAAATGAAAGACATACCTAGTTTCATTTCAGGTGTACGGCACCACAGGAAGATGGGGCTAAGAAAATGTTACTCTCTTGTATAAAGAAGAGGGTTTCTCTCACGTTTTCTTCCTTTAGTATCTGGCATTATTCAATAATGTCCATATTCTACTCGATGTTCACCGATGAACTGGGACATGTTTTTCACCGCAGCTTAGTCGTCTGGGTGTGCCTGGGGAGGCGTCACAAAGAGCCTATAAAGGGTCCCCACCTACAATGGGAGTAAGAGCGCTGGAAGGAACCCCGGAAGGGCATGGAGACCAAGCGTTCGGTTTCGGAATGTTTTTTGTGTGTGCCCGTATTCACCGAGCTTGGGTTCTGCTACTCTTAACGAAAAGCCCAGTCGCGGAGCTGCTAAATTTTCTGCCATATCTTAGCCGTCCCCACGCCCCCCCGCCCCACCCTACCTCACCCCCAGGCGTGAGTGAATGCGCAAATAAGGGTTTTCAAGGCGTCAGTGGGAAAGAGGGAGGGGAAGGCAACGCCGAGGATGGGAGGACAGGGCGGTGGCATCCTTCTAGCGAGAGAGCGCCGGAGCCCTCGGCGGCGAGGAGAGCTAAAACCTGGCTGTCCCGAGCCAGAGGAGGCCGAGGCAAGATGCTGAACGGGCGGGGACCGATGGGGGGCAGCAGACCATGGCCGCGCACCTAGTCCGCCCCCGGGGCCTCCTCTTGTCCCGAGGACCACCCCCGCTCCCGGTGTCTTTTGGTTTCGACCGGCCGACTGGGAGGGGCCGTGGGGACGCCATTCCCATAATGCTCTGGGGCGTGCCGCCGCCGTCGCTGCCACCTCCCCTACCGCTAGTGGAAGAAGATGGCGGAAGGCGGAGCGGCGGATCTGGACACCCAGCGGTCTGACATCGCGACGCTGCTCAAAACCTCGCTCCGGAAAGGGGACACCTGGTAAGAGAAAGGGGTTGAGATGCCTGCGGTTGCCCGAGGATAGTGGAGAAGAGGGCGGGAGCCGCGAGCTGGTGTCTTTCGCTGGTGACAGGTGCGGGCAGGTCTGGCGGCGGCCGCCGGGGTAGCAGGATTTTGGCTGCTTCTGAAATGTTAGGGCAAAGGTTGGACTCTAGATGAGGGTCAGGGTTCGTGGCTTGCCAGGGCATGCTGAAAGGTGTCCGGAGAGCGGCGGCGGCGGCGGCACTGACTCGTGCGGTTCTCTTCTTCCTCCTTCCTTCCGTAGTGCCGCTCCCACCTCAGGCCTTCTCGAATGATAGGTTATAGTGGTTTGGTTTGAGTCTCATATACGCTGTTTTGACAGGTCCCGGTGCCGCGGCTTATCATGATCTCACCGGCTTTACTTCTCTGTTCATTTCCTTTCCTAGAATTGTCGGCGTCCAAGTTCCCTTTTATTCTGATTCTTGTAGTCTTCCGGGAGGCAGGCTGCAGGATGTTTGCGGTCTGTACTACACAGGTGGCATGTCAGTGCCCCACATAAGAGAAAGAAACCCTAGTTTCCAGTTCCTTGTCAAAGGAGGGAGAGGAGTAGGGAACCTTAGGCTTATGAGAGACCACGTGGTCTTGTGCTTTAGTGGTGGCTTGATAAAAGCCGGCAGCGTTTCTGTTAGATGTGCAGCCCTTCCCTTCTGTTTGAAGGATAACGTAGGCCTGCAAAAAGTTGATAAGTCCACTTGAGGCT